TCACTTGGTAGCCCAGGCTGGCCTCGAACTCACAGAGATCCGCCTGGCTCTGCCTCCTGAGTGCTGGGATTAAAGGCGTGCGCCACCACCGCCCAGCTTTGTTTTGTTTTTTGAGACAGGGTATCACCATGTATCCCTGACTGTAAACCAGGCTGGCCTAGAACTCACAGAGATCCACCTGCCTCTTCATCCCTGTGCTCCACCATGATAAGTTGAGTTTTGCTCTCAGTAACAATGACTTCAAGCAAGACACTAAGTTGTTCTCGTTTGCAGAGCTTTCATTTTCTCATTTTTATCCCTGGCAGTTGATTGTGCACCCAACAACCCCTGAGTTGTTTTGTAGACATGACTTCAGAGATGTAAAACCGCTGGGCAGTGGTGGTGCACGCCTTTAATCCCAGCACTTGGGAGGCAGAGCCAGGAGGATCTCTGTGAGTTCAAGGCCAGCCTGGTCTACAAAGCAAGTTCTAGGTAAGGCGCAAAGCTACCCAGAGAAACCCTGTCTCAAAAAAAAAAAAAAAAGATCCAGAGATGTAAAACCACACACCCACACACACAGTATTAAATGCAATGAACAATTACCTATTCAGAAAAGTCACACCTTCTATGATGTGGCATTTTAATAACAGCAACTTCCAGAAAGAGAGCTTCATCTGTAAGCTATGTGTCTCCTGTCTGAAATGCTTGGAACCACAGGGCCTGACACCTCCGACCTTTTCAGAATCTGGAATATTCCCACAGACTTCACCAGTTGGGTGTCCATCAAACAATCCCAAACGCCCCCAATACGGCTTTGGGTTTTCAGATCAGAGAGGCTAATGACCCAGTCCTGTAATTCAGGCCAACCAAAGGTAGCAGAGAGAAGGAAAAGGCCACTGGCTGGAAGCAGCAGAGAGTACTTCCTGAACACTCACTCGCTCTAACAGGAGGTCAGCAGGAGTGCACAGGGCTGGCCGATGAGCTCCCAGCAAACCCTGCTTCTGCCGCTCACTGCCAACACGGGCATTTGGCTCTCACTGGTCTTTGAAAAGGAACACTGTCTTTTGGATTTTGTGGTTGTTTTGAGACAAGGTCTCACTAAGTAGCCTAGGCTGGCCTGGCAATCCTCCCGTCTTCATCTGAAAGATCACAGGCACCACAGAGTCCCGTTCCGGACACTGATGTCTAACTCACTTGACTGTCAGTGCAAGGAAGGGCCACAACGGATGGAGATGAGTACTTACTGTGCCAGACAACAAGTCTATGATGTAACTATAAAAGTAAATGAGCCCAGAGCTACTGACTGGGTAGACTGTGCACTGAATATCTGCAAGAAACAAAAACAAAAACAAGGACGTGCGTTAGCAACAGCCTCACTCTGCCGGTAACTCGTCTACTGCAGTTTGTGAACCTAAGCTGTGGCTCCGTATTCAGATACACCTGTGAGTTTGTACATGCTGTATCTGTCACGTGCTGCTGTTCTATGTTCAAGTCCCAGTGGGTCTGATACATTCCCTTTTCTCTACGTCTATGTATAGTGTTTCTTTTACTCCTTTACTTTGCTTTAGCATGTGCCTTTACTAAACAATTTGGGGTTATATCGATTTCTGTTTGTTTAGTGGGTCTTTTATTGTTTCATTTTGCTTTTATTTATTTGTGTGTTTATATGTGTGTGTATGTGCAACATGTTCATGCAGGTGCCCACAGAGGGCAGGAGAGGGCACCGGATCCCATGGAATAGAAGCTCCAGGTGACTCTGGCTGCTACGCTGACGTGGGTGCTGTGAACGGAACCTGGATCCTCTGCAAAAGCAGTATATGCTCTTAATCTCTCCAGCCCCTCATTTCACTTTCTGGGGACAAGGTTTCACTTCACATTTTAGACTATCGCCAAATCCACATCTTCCTTCAGCATCCTAGGCAGTAGGACTAGAAGATATGCACCACCCAGTGCAGTTAGTGTTTAATATCATTGTCCTTTTAATATTTATTTTATTTTAAATTATGTGTATGAGAGGATATATGTCTGCAAGTGCCCACAGAGAACAGAACAGGGAATCACATCCCCCACATCTGGAGTTACAGGCAGTTGTGAGAGCCCACTGGGGAGCTGGAAACCAAACCTAATCTCTACAGCCTTGATGGTTATGATTCTTTAAATGATCTAAGTATTCAATAACAAAGTGTTGTTTTCAGGGAGGAATAATCATCTCTATTTCAATGATCACCCGGGCTCAACAGAGAAAGAAACTGAGAAAGAGAGAGGCTCAGAAAGGTTAGTTGACAGGCACGGCTGGCCTGGAAACCTAACTTTGTTGATTTTTACAGAGCAGCAGGAAATATGTCTCTACAACAGTGGATACGTGAGAAAACAGGCGTGCACAGGAGGTGGAAAGCAGCCCTCACACTAAGTCTGAAGTGCCAGGTTATTTGAATTTTAACAAATCAAAATGGAAATAAAAATGAGGAGGAGGAAGGCACGGGGCCTCTGAAGCGATGAGCCAGGGTTCTTCTGGGTAAGGAGTTGTGTGACTGAAGGGTCTGAGGGCTTTGGAAGACCTTCAGAAGACCTGGGACCAAGCTGGTCCCCAAGCCTGGGATCAGAGGTTTTCAGTGAGTGTCTGTGAAACAGAGGAAACCCTCCCCATCTGGGCTAATAGGATCCCCGGAAGATCTGAGTTTGGTTGAGAATACAAAATCCCAATCCAGCACTTCCCAGAGTGTCTGGCACAAGATCACTGTGGAATTGCTATCAGCTTCAAGCACATTCTTATCATAGATAACAATCTTGAAATGAAGTCACCTTGGGTGAGGGGTTGATTCTTTTAGGTTTGCTAAATGTCCCACTTACCCACCCTGCATCGCTCCTCCCACATGCCCTCATGAACTCAGAAGGGGCTGGGTGTCCTGATTTGGCCAATGAGATGTGGAAGAAATGTGTTTGTGTGTCATCTCCAAACAGAAGTGTCAGGAATCAGCACACATTTGCCATGGCTCTCTTCCCCTGGATCACAATGACAATCATGGCTGCCCCAGCAGTTTGGGCTCCTGAATGAAAATTTCCAGTCCATGATGGATCTGGACTACAAATGAGAAGTAAATGTTTACAGTTACTGGCACCGAGGATAACGGGATTATTTGTTTCTGCAGCATAACCTAACCCATCCCGACTGACACAGTTGCCCAGGAGAGGGAGCCCTGCAGCCCGGACAGCCAGTCCTTCGACTCACCCATGTCTTTGAATGGAATGAACACGAAAGTGCTGTTGGTAATCTTGTACTTGGTGAGTAAGATCGGGAGCAAAACCAGCATGAAGATGATCAGGAATATCACCAGGTTCAGCACCACCAGGAACCGTAGGAAAGAGAAGTAAGACTGGATGCCCGTACCAAACTTCCCTGGAAAAGAAGCAATGTGGCTATCAGTGACCTGCTGCACACGGTGGACTCCATCACCAAGAGAAGGCTGAGGAAAAAGGATCCCTGCTGTGGGAAAGAGAGAAAGAATCATATTCCTTTGATGGATTTTTTTTATCACTGGTACAGAAGTCAGAAGACAACTTTCAGAAGTCCGTTCTCTCCTTTTACTGCATGGGTCCCAGAGACCCACTTGGGTCATTGGGCTTCAAGCCTGGCTTTACCCATGACATCTCGTGCTCAATTCTTTACCTGAAACCCAGATTCCTAGAGAGTTTTCATATGTATATCCACAGCTGCTTCTGAACATGTCCCTTAAGAGCAGTCGGAAGTGAGGAAGGGCTTCCCAGTTCCCTTTTGTCACATGACCATCCAGCTGCCTCAGCACTGCTCTGGATGTCCATTATCTATATCTGTAACATATGTTCTGCATCCTATCCTGTCTGTGCTCCACACACCAATCTTTACACCTATAGGAGACTTAGCTGTTGCAGACTCAGGCCAAGGGGTGATCTCTGGTGCTATGCATCTCCAGCTTCCTTCTTCCCTGAGCTTATCCTGGGTACCCTTGGTATTCAACAGTTCTAACATACAATGCTTAGAATCAGTACATCCATTTTCACACACAGACACACACAGATGAGTCTCTGATTGAATTACATGAAATACATTAATGAATTTGAGACGTAACATCTCATCTTTTTAATATTGAATCTCCTGATTGATGAACATGGATCTCTTTTGGTATCTCTTAGTAAAATTTTTATAACCAGCTACCCTTTCCTCCCATTCTCCTCCTCTTTCTCCTTTTTTTTTTCCCTTTGAGACAGGGTCTCACTATGTAGTCCTGACTGGCCTTGAACTCTCTTATATAGACCAAGTTGGCCTGCAACTCAGAGATCTACCTGCCTCTGCCTCTGCCTCCTGCATGCTGGGATTTAAAGGTGTGACATAACACACCTGGCCTTTTTTTTTGGGGGGGGGGAGGAGAATCCTGCTATATAATTTAGGCTAGCTTTGAACTTATCAGGTATATCTGGCTATTCTGGAACTGATGATCCTCCTGACTCTACCTCCCAAGTTCAGGGATTATAGGCATAGGTCATCACACCTGGCCCATAAAATGTTTAGTTTCCTATGCTTGGGCATTATTTATTTCTCCTTAGATAAACTTCTAGGGATTTGACTGTTGAAATGTGATTATAAATCATACTGAAAACTTCATTTTGTGGGGCTGGAGAGATAGCTCAGTGGTTAGGAATGTGTTCTGCTCTGCAGAGAACTCAAGCTTGGTTCTCAGCACCCACATTAGGTAGTTTATAAGTACCTGTCACTATAGCTTAAGGGTCTCCAACTTCCTCCTCGGGCACCTGCACATATACACACACACCCCACACATATAATCAAAACACACACACACAGCCCACAGAGATGCACACACGTATAATCAAAACACACACACACACCCCACACAGATGCACACACATATAATCAAAAATTTTAAAAACCCTTACTTTTCTAAATGGTGCTAGTATGAAGAAATACACTTAAGGCTGGGACTGTAAGAGGTACAGTACTTACTTAGCATGTGCAAAGCCCTACATTCCCCAGCAAAACCCTGTTAGGAGGTTCCCAGCAACCCCCTAAAGATGGGGTAAATACAATCAATTTTATACAGACTTTGTCAAATCAACAACTAACCTTGTTAAATATACATCTTGATTCTAATAGATTGTCTTTTGTATTTTCTATGTATATATTATCTGGACAAATGATATTTTATTTCTTCCCTTTCTGATTCTTTTCCCTTTCTGCCTCATCTCTGAAGTGCACAGTTAGCTAAGACTTCCAGGGTAATGCTGAAGAGACTCTGTGATAACAAACACATTTCCTCATTCTCAAGCTCAGGCTTTCCAGCATGTCATTTAATAGAATACTTGCTGTAGGGTTTTTATAGATTTTAAAAGGCAAAAGCTCTTCTAGCTCACACTTGCCAAGAATGAGGACTAGGGCTAATGGTGTCTTCTCTGCATCTCTCAGAATGCTCACAGCATCTCTCAGAATGATCTCAGTGTCTCCATTCAGAAGAGCAGTCTCCTAGCAGAGAAGACCTGAATCCCTGCAGACAGTCTGTAGAGCAAGGTGCTTTTTGTTCCTTAGGAGTCAAGAGCACATGGCTGACCCTGATGATGGAAGACACCCACACCATGCTCTGTCAAACACTCAGCGATGTCTCCATCGCTTTGATTTGCACACCTTCTCGTTCTGCCCCAGGGACATCCAGTCAGCCAAGAAATCCCAGTAGAACAAATGAAGAGAAAGCCAAAGATCCGGTTGCCCAGGGAGAAGAAAGCCTCAGCAGTCAGAAGTCTGCAGGAGTATTCCACCAAACCAGGGAAGCTGGGCACAGCTTCTCGTTACTGTGGGCTGGTACCTGACAACTCAGGGAGGAAGGTATTTGGGGGCTCACAGTTTGAGGGGACACAGTCCATCATGACATAGAAGGCATGGCAGCGGGCGTGTTGACGGGACTGATCACCGTGTGTCCACAGTCAGAAGGCAGAAGAGAGACGGGAAAGGGAACTCAGACAAGAAACCTCAAGGCCCATCCCAGTGCTCCATTTCCTCCAGTTAGGTCCCACTTTGAGGCTAGCCCACAGGTGGAGACCGAGTGTTCAGACACAGGAGTCTATGGGGGACATTTCATGTTCAAAACACTTGGCCTGTGAAGCCTGACGGCCTGTGTGCTTCATCCTGGCTGAGTGCCCTTGGGCAAACATCCTAACGTCGCTGTGGCAGGCAAATGCTGAAGTATCCACCTGAAAGGGTTTTGGGAGGCTGGGCATGGTGGCACCCACTTTTAATACTAGCATTAGGAGGCAGAGGCAGGCAGATCTGAGTTCAAGGCCAGCCTAGTAGTCTACACAGAGAGAAACAAAGGGGTGGGAGTCTTGTGAGGACTAACAGAGATAATCTGAGTGAGACGCCCAAGGCAACACTTGGTTCATTGCCAATGCTCATAAGGATTTGCTTGTACTTTGCTCAAGACCACACTATGCTTCCATTTCAGGAGAAAGGGTGTGAGTGTGTGGCGAAGTTCTGGATGAGCCTGGAAGACTTCTTAGAACTATGTTCACAGTCTCCATATAAAACAACAATTTACAAAGAAGAATACATTGTCAGTGGTATATTTAAATATTTATTATATTTTAATTATATATATGGGGAGGGGGGATACGCAGATGCCTGTGGAGGCTAGAAGAGGGTTCTGGATTCCCTGGAGCTGGAGTTACAGGCCGTGAGCTTCTCAGTGTGGGTGCTAGAAACGGAACTGGGGCCTTTGCAAGTTCCTGCTCTTACCTGCTGAACTCTGCTCCAGCACCACCCTCCCCAGAAGACCAGAGGACACTCTATCATCTGTTATTTGCTTGTTTATTTGGGGACAGAGCTCCAAGGTGTCACCCTGGCTAACCTGAAACTCAGAGATGCACCTGTCCCTGTCTGGATTAAGGTCCTGGTCACCACGCCTGGCACTATACTTTTAGGGTAGGTAATAAGGAAGATGGTCACTTCTCCCAAACATCCTGCCATGCTCTTTACAGACTGTGTTGGGAACTTCTATGTCAGCAGCTATTAAGGCACTGATTATAAATCGTTTTGTTTTATGATAGAAAATACAGAATGGTAAGAGGCATCTCCCTCCCTGCCCCAGGCTCTGCTGTGACCTTTCTAGAAGACAAAGGAACAGGCCCTATTAAGGTTAAGTGTGGGTCAAGTTCATACTTGAGACAGTCAGCTTGACTGGATCTAGACTCACTGAGGAGGCACCTCTGGGCATGTCTGTCACGGACATGTCTGTCAGGGAACAGAGAGGTTCGACTGAGGTGGAAAGACCCACCCTGAATGTGGGCAGCATCATCCCATGAGCTAGACTGAATAAAAAGAGGAAAGTGAACTGGGCTCCAGAACTCATGGCTTCTGTGTCCTGACTACGGATGCCACGCGACCAGCCTCCTCAAGCTCCTGACGGCATGCCTCGTCCTGCCATGGCAGACGGTATTCTGAAACTGTGAGCCAGAACAGACCCTTCCTCCCTCAGTTTGCTTCTGTGTGACAGCGACAAGGACAGTCACTAACACAACATTCATCTTGGAAGGAAATCCTCAACATCGCAAGAGCCAGGTGCAAACCCAGCTTGCCTGCAGGGGAGGCCACACCAGATAAGGCAAAATCCCAAAACGCTCAGCCCCAACCTCAGCTGTCTGCAGGGGAAGCTGCAAGCTGGTAAGCATAACACTGCAGACACAGACACACACACACACACACACACACACACACACACACACACACACACACACACACACCGCCTCAGCAGCTTGGCCTGCAGGGGAGCCGCGGCAAACGGGCTCTACCTTCAATGCTGCGGATGTCCTTACGCCACAGCTCCAGGTGGGTGGTCATCTCACGAGCTTTCTCTAGGAACCTCTTCCAGGACTTGCTGCTGTACCGTTTCCACTGGTCCCACTCGGATAAATACTTCATCTGGGTTTCCTGAATGTCCCTGCATCAAAAAAGGGCCATGAGCGTGACAAGGACAAGGTAGCATCAAGTCTAAGCTTCCATGACACCCGGGATGGGAGCCTAGTCAGCCATAAAAAGGGATGACGACACACGCTCCAGTGTGAATGAACCTTCAAAGTGTTACACAAAATAAAAAAAAAAGCCAGACTCGGAGGTCACTTTCCATGCACACATAAATCTAGAGACAGCAGGTTCATGGCTGCCTGGGCTGACGGAGGGGGAACTGAGAGTGCTTTTTTTTAACGGGTACAGAGTTTCCAGCTGCGGTGATAAAGCATTTTTGGAAGTAGCTGGAGGTGATGGATGCACAGCATTGCCAATAGGCTCAGTGCCACTGAATTATAAGCTGTCAATCACAGTGTGTACTGTGTGCTCAGTACAATGATCCTATGGTGCCATTCCTGACCTCTTGCCCTACCCTGTCAGCTGATCAAATCCTATTTCACCTCCAGGATACACCTTCTTTTGATAACACATTCTTTCAAATTAATGTCTATCTCTCCCAATATGCTACAAATGGCTGTTTTGTTTGTTTATGAGACAGGGTCTCATGATGTAGCTCTGACTGGCCTGGCACTTGCCATGTTGACCAGGCTGGCCTTGAACTCACAGAGATTCATCCACCTGCCTCTGCCTCCAAGTGCTAGGATTAAAGGTCTGTGCCACCATGCTCAGCCTGATGCCACAAGTTCTTTAAAGGATGAGAATATATAATATGTGTTGCTGTGGTCCTCTGTCCCAGGAGCACAGACTGCTGATTCCATGATAGCCCCAGCCTGGCTGGGTTTGCTCTCCACTCTTTCTTAAGCACCGTATCTGGTTATTTTATCCATTCTTAATAAATACCCACCACTAACCATAGAACAATATTCACAAAAAAGTACATTTACTATGTACTGCTGTATTCATGAAAGGTGAACTGCTTTTGCATTGCACAGAGTATGTTTAGACACACAAATGGATAGATATAGATACAGATATTGATAAATGGATGGATAGATAGGATAGACAAATGGATAAAAGGATATAGATACATTGATGGATGTATACAAATACAGATAAAGAAGGATAGATGATAGATGGATATAGATAAATGGATACAGATTAGTAGATGAACAGATGATAGATATGATGACAATGGATAGATGAGAGATGAATGGATGGATATGATGTACATGCCTGCAACCCTAACTTTGGGAGGTGGGGACAGGTGAATTCAAGATTAACCCAGGTTACACAGAGATATCATAACACGAAAAAGGAGGGGAAGAGGCCTGGGGTGACGGCTCAATGGGTAAAGTGTGTGGTGTGCAAGCCTGAGGACCTGATTAGGATCCCTAGGACCTGCCTGCCACCCCAGAGCTGGGTGATGTGCAAGCCTGAGGACCTGATTAGGATCCCTAGGACCTGCCTGTTACCCCAGAACTGGGTGGGTCTTAGGGACTTGCTGGCCAGCCCGAACAGCCAACTGCTGAACTCCAGGTTCAGTGAGAGAGTCTGTTCCCCTCAAAACTGAAGTGGAGTGACAGAGGGTGCCAACAAATGTCAACTTCTGGCCCCTACATGGGTGCTTGCACATACATATATATACATGTACATGCAGAGAGACGAGGGTGGGGGAGAAAGACAGATACAGAGAGAGAGGGAGAGAGGGAGAGAGAGAGAGAATGTGAGTCTGGCTACAGCTAAGCTAAACCTGGAACTGTGTATTCAAACAGGAGGTGACAAACTTCTTGAAGGTCACGTTGTCACCACGGCTTAGGAATGCTCACTACAGAATGAACTCTCGGTTCCACACATAACAAGCACACCACATGCACCACATACACCCCTCTCCCAGCCTACAGCATGGCCACTTCCAGGCGGCTACTGAACAAACCTCAGCCTCCGCTTCTCAGAGATGTTCAGCGCATACTTGCGGATGGACTGGCTGTTGAGGTTCTCTGGGATTCCTCCATCCAGCTGGGAACTGTAGGAGTCGGTCGGCTTTAGCAGGGTGCCACTCTGCTTGTCCCGGGCGAGGATGTTTGTCCTCCGGCGTGCCACTGACCGATAGCTTGGCAGCTCTTGAAGGAAGTTCACAGGTGGAGAGAAGCAGCTAGAACCCAGGGACATGTTCTCTGGGTGAAAGAAGAAAAGCAAAATTCACTCCAGACAGCTTGGGAGCCTTCAAATCTCAGAGACCAGGAACAAGCCTTGGAGACAGTCACTCACCTTGCCAGTGACAGAATAGCTGGACTTTCTTTTCTTTTTTTACTGTGCTGGGAATTGAACCCAGGACCTCACACATACACATGCTAGGCAAGTTCTCTACCTCTGAGCTACCTAGCCAGTCCTTCATTTATTTAGAAAAGGCTTTGATAAGTTTCCCAGGCTGGCCTTGAATTTGGAATCTTCCCGCCTTGGTCTGCTGTGCGGTGGGGATTACATACCTGTGTCAACACAAATTACAAACCTGTGTCATTCTGCTTTGTTCTGTTTGCATGGGTATGAATGCTCTCCCGTGTGTGGGTATGTATGTGTGTGCAGGTGCACGTATGCTTGTGTCAGTGAAGACAATGCTGGGGGTCCCCCACGATCACTCTCTACCCTATATATTGAGGCAGGGTCTCTCACTTGAACCCAGAGCTCACCCATCCAGATAGTCTAGCTGGCCGGCTTGCTCCAAGAGATGGGATTCCTCTGCCTCTTGAGCACTGGAATTACTACTGGGCATTTAAGTGGGTTCTGGACATCCAAACTCTGGTCCTCACATATAGGGGGCAAGTACTTCATCCACTAGGTCATCTCCCCAGCCCTGGCTGCATTTTGTTGTCCAGGATAATGCAGAGGACAGTGACATCATCTTCACATGGGCTCGCTCTATAGGTGTGTCTGCATGAAACTTAGGTGGTAAGGTTCCTGTAGCCATTAGTTAAATGCATGGTCCATTTGCTGAATAAAGCTAGCAAAGTGTGCTCTATCTCCAATAAGTGAAGGAAATGATAATGTGTAAGAGCCATGATCCCCTAAGCAATTGGCTCCATGGACATCCTAACTTCTACCCTTCCTGTTGGGTACTAAATGGCTTAAGTTTGAATCCTGACCTGGTCCCTTTTCTGCTGTGTGTTTGGGGGGAGTTACTTCTCAGAACTTCAGTTTCCTCATTCCAAATAGTCATTCAACAAATAGGCCTACATGTGTCCTTCAGGGAGCCAAGGATACCATGGTAGCCAAAGAAAACGTCCTGCTCTTATGCAGCTTATAATCTGAGGTGGGTGAGGGGGGGACCAGCCAATGAGCTGGTGATAAATTTATGCCAAGAAGTAATAAGCACAATGAACACAAAACACAAGAGCAAATGGGGTAATGTGAAGGGTTAGGGACAGAGGTTATCCTGGGACGGGGTGCTGTCTTTGGTCAAGTTCTTTCTGTTTTGGTCAGATCTTCCCCTTAATTGAAGCTCAGTGAAGAGGGGGCACAGACTTGAGGCTATGTGGGGAAGAACAGGTCCCAGGAAGGGCAGAGTCTGGGGCAGCAGCGCACGTGGCACATTTGTAGAAAGGTCTGCCGACTCCTGATGCAGAAGGATGGACAGACAGGAGCCCAGAAGTCCATTTGATTGGTGGATGGTGGAGTCATCCCAGCCCTTCTACAACCCTTTCCCAAGCCTGACCTGTAACTTGGTTTAACCAAAGGGCACAAAACAAACAACAACAACAACAAAAAACCTCTGCCAACCCCAAGTCATAAAAGAGCCCAGAAGCCACTTTTGGGCATTTAAGTGCCGGTCATGTAAGAAACCTGCCAGGGCCAGCAAGCTAGCTCAGAGGGTAAACGCCCTTGCCACTGACACCGAGGATCTGAGTTCAAATTCTGGAACCCACATGATGCAAGAGGAGAATCAACTCCTGCAAGAACCAAGCCCCTGCTTTTGTCCCCAGTCACAGAGAACATCCATAAGGGCATCGTATGTGGGGTGTGGAAAGAGAAAAGAAAGAGGCCTGAGTGTCTGGACTATAGCCAACGAGGTTTTACAGGCTGATATGACCCACAGAAGCCACTGAGGACTCTGGACCGGAGCTGATTGTGTTCTGGGTACACTTTAACAGGTCTCCCTGAGTAGGCTGCTGGAACCCATACTGTGATCCTAACTTTCAGGTGACTAAGACAGAGAATCCTGAAGTTGAAACCACCCAGGGCTACATAGTGAGACCCTAGGGGCAGGCCTGGGTAACCCCAAGGACCAGCCTGAGTTCAGTGGGTATGGTCACAGCATCACAAGTGCTCACCAGGGTGCAGGTTCTCAGTGTCTCTGACCCTAAATGTACCCGGAAGTGTGAGAGGGCTGGGGGAGGACAAGGGGCCAGCATTCCAGGTCCCTCTGGAATGTGCAGATTCCCTAACCTCTGCCCTCCCAACAGGCAGGCCCAGACACGAGACAACAGTTATCTCACTGTAGATGACGCAGAGACATGCGCCTGGGCTCTGCCAACCTCATGAGCAAGCCATGCCACATTCACCCCGACACACCCTGAGGATGTGAGCCATGCTGCCTCCAGCAATTAGGAGGTTAATGTAGAACCGTGCAGTAGGGCACGGGTGCAGCCTTGGGGCCACTCTTCCCTCTCGGCAGCAACAAAGAACTGTTATTAACCAAGAACAAAGGTCTTTGACTATGGAGCCTATTGAATATTCAACAACTGTGGGGTCAGGGACCAATGCAGGATGGGGACTGCAGCCTGGGCTGGCTTTAGATGCTGCACTGTCACCCACCAGCCAGGCCATCCCTGGAAGACATCAGTTCTGCTCATCTCAGGAACAGGGCGTCTAACACCAAAAGCCACCGACACCTGTCACACTGTGAGCTTCAGGGAGCACTCACTTTGGGCATGGCTGTTAGACGTACTGGAAGCTAGGCCTAGCAGTGTATACATGTAAGGCCAGCAGTCGGGAGGCTGAGGCAGGAGAGTGTGGCCAGCCTGGATTACACAACATGACCCTGACTCAACCTGACTGGATTTAGAATCAAAGAATAGAGAGTCGAGTTGAGGATGAAAATTCACCATCATGGGGCTTCTTGCAGTGTAAGCCTGGGGATTTGAGTTCAGTCCCAGAACTCACAGTAGGAGAGACCAACTCCTGAAGGATCGTGTCTGACTTCCACACGTGCTGCAACACACACACACACCACACACACACACACACACACACACACACACACACACACACGGGCACACACACACACACACACACACACACACACACGGGCACATACTCAAAAAAGAAAGGACTTACCTCCACAGGGAGGCAAAGGAGCTTGCCTACTTGCTGTTAAGCACTGGGACTGGGGACCTCACATACCATCAGATCCCCCAAGTCCCACCTCCCCCATGAATGAGCCTCGGATTTGAGATGGCCCTGTAAACACTAAAATGCCACACAGATTTAGTAGGTAATGGTTGGATGTTCCTCCCCTCCCAATTATACTGTATACACGCTTTTCTCCCTAGTCGCTCCAGGGAAATTTCCCATCTGTAAATAAAACACATCAGTAGCGTCCTCATTCCCAGGCTCTACCTCTTTGTGCTCTCATACAGGACTGTGCTGGTCTCAAAACTCGACCTCCGACTGACTCCTCACACTCACCTGCACAGGTAGACACAAAAGGCTCAGTGCTTTGGCTTTTTAACAGGGAAACTGAGGCTCAGGGAGGCGATGACTTGTCCAAGGTTTGAGGTCAAGACAGTCTCAGCTCTGGTGTCTTGCGAAGGCCACTCAATGCACCTCTCTGAGCCTAGGGCAGCTCATCCTTGGGTAGGATAATTGTCAAGTATTCCTCTGACTCGGTCTTGCCATCAGCATGGCCACTTAGGTCAGTGGTCAGTGTGAGGGCTGCTTAGTCACCATGTGCATATTTCCCACATTGGGGTGATGGTCTAGAAATACCTAGAGTTTCTCAGCCACTGGGACCAGCTGGCAGCAGTCAGGCTGTTACCAAGGCAGAAGGGTGAGAGGAGGGGGAAGGGGAGGGGGAGGGGACGGGAGGGGGAGGTGATGGCAGGTGGTACGGGTCAGGGCAGGGGGCTATCTTTTTTCTTTTTTTTTTTTTTAAAAATTATATTTATTTATTATGTATACATAGGAGGGCACCAGATCTCATTACAGATGGTTGTGAGCCACCATGTGGGTGCTGGGAATTGAACTCAGGACCTCTGGAAGAGCAGTCGGTGCTCTTAACCTCTGAGCCATCTCTCCAACCCCTATCTTTTTTCTTTACAGAACTTGTACTGAAGCCAGGACCTCACCCATGTCAGACACTCTACTGTCGGCCACATCTCAAACTCTCTTTGTTCTGTGACAGTCTCACTAAGTTCTCCAGAGCAGCCTCGAACTCAATCGTCCTGCTTCAGGCTCCTTAGTAGCTGGGGTGACAGGCCTGCACCACCAGGCTCAACTCAAGGTTGAGTCTCTGAGTCTAGAGCAGTGCGTTGCCCCTAGGAAACTCTCCACTCGAAGGATGGATGGATGGATGGATGGATGGATGGATGGATGGATGGATGGACGGACGGACAAATGACAAGACAGAAGCAAGGGCATGTGGATGGCATCCTTAGATCCTGGCAGCTGTTTCTACAGTACGCTCAATCCTAGTAAAAAACACGAACTCTCCCAGGAGACTGGCCAAGCATGATCGAAATGGCACCAAGGGCCCTGCTGTTCCCACAGCATGTCTGCCAAGAGCGGCTTCGGCCAAACACGGTGCTCACTGAGGGCTTTGCTTCCTCCTCTCAGGTTGTGGAACTCCACGTAAGAAGGGGCCTTGTGGGTCATAGAGAGTCTGCCAGTTACTGTGGGAATTACAATAGTGTCCTCTCTTCCCACATGGAACATGGTCCAAGATGCCAATGGATGCCCGAAACAAAGAATATCATAGCATCCTCTCTATACTAGACACATGCATACATATATAAATACACACACACAGACACACAGACACACACACACACACACACACACACACACACACACACACCATTCAAGTGTGTTTATGTTGCTGGGGATGAGCTCAGGGCTTTGGGCACGTTAGGCAAGTACTCTATCACTGAGCTTCAATGCCAGCTCTGTCTTTTCCATCAAA